CACTTTGACTTCATTGTATCTGAAAAACACTTACGGGCCCCCGTTTTTTATTATTTTCTTGAGTTCGTCATCGCAATAAATGGAAAATGGCAAAATTTAATCAAAATATATTCATCAAATTTTGAGAGGAAGGAAATTCTGTAAACCACATAGATGTTTCGCTAACGCTCTGTCTCAATTAAATGGTCTTTGATGAAAAATTATCTTTAATACTGGGCTTATTAAACTCGAGAGTTTCGAGTAAGTGTTTAAGTGTGAGTGTTCATAGAAAATAATTCTTTATTGATCTGAAATAAAAATAGAATATTGGTGGCGCTATCTGTAACAATATTTTATTAATAACAGTACACTTTTTATATTTTTAATTAATATAAAATGGCAGAAAGCTTAATTTTGAGATTGGGATGGGTTTTATAAAAAATTGTACAAGGCGAGACAATTTAATTTCCAGAATCGTCGAGTAGTGTCGACCGTAACAAAATTATATCGAAATTGTATGCGCATTCGCGTTCGAACATATTTGAACTAATACGTGCGTAAATTTTAAGCCGATAGCCTATAAAATTTACGTCTAAACAGAAAGTACTTATCACATCAAAATAGAAAGAAACCTAACTCAATTATTCAAATATAACTTTAACTAATATGGAAAATGCATTTTGGGCACAGACCCCATCACCAGTAGCGTAGCGTAGTGGGGGCGGAAAGAGCGGCCCGCCCCGGGTGTCACTTTTTAGGGGGCGGCAAATTTCACAATAAATAATAATATCTTGTAAGAATTTGAACCATTTTATTTCACATCTTCGTCCACCTACGATTCGGACGGATTGAAATGAGCACCGACTAGTGTCCGTGAATCCGGACGGGCCGGGAATCGACTCACCATCCAGGGATATCGTGCGTAACCTGAGAACGATTTTTTTTTTCTTATTTGCTTGTACGATTTATTCGTATATATACACCTCCAATATCCAATAGAGCTAGGTCACATGAGTTACTCCTATCCAAGTCTCCCTAGTCGCTAACTATAACTGATTTAGTACCAGCATGCACTGCACATTATTCTTCGCATTGCAAAGTGACATTCCGTCAGCAACTTCTGTTCGAACAAACCTCACCTGCCGTCCGGGTCGGCGATTTTAAAAAGGTGGCGACACTAGCACGAAATTTTTCATTACTTATTCTGTGACGAAACTGAATTTTAGTCTTTTAAATTGAAATACCTAAATAAGGGAGGGGCGAAATTTTCCTCCGCCCCGGGCGGCTGACACACACGCTGCGCCACTGCCCCTCACCAGCCCATTCGGAGATTAGACATATGGCGGTAAACGCAATAAATATTTAAAATATTGTAAGAAAATGATATTATAAATAACACAGTGCACTGTGTATACAATTACCTAAAATACTAAATTGAAATTAACTATAATAGTATAATGCAATAGTAAAAACAATCTACGGTTGTAGTTAGGAACTGACAAATTAAACTATTGTCTTCATAAAACATAATGTTCGTTTAATCGATAATAAATTATCATTCGTTACATTTATTACTTAATTTTAATAAATTAAAAAATCTGGGTATGTGAAGTTTAATTCTTATTCACTTATTATAATATCATTATTAATACAAACTAATCAAAAACCAATTACAATTGATTAAATTATAATGTACTGTACATATTGATTTACTTTTTTAGGTTACGTTGTTTGGACTATATCACAATTTTTAAATATTAACAGAACCTTAAATGCCACTATAACCTTGATAGCGATGTATTACGTTAAGTTTGGTTTTAAGCATATTTTCTTCTTCTTCTTGTTACCGGTTTCATATGGAGAATCTAGCTTCGATTGCTCTTTATCCGATCGACGTCGCTTATTAGTTAAGTGAAGCGATCTGAGCGATAGATATAGCGCTCCCAGGGCCGGATATACCAATAGACAAATATGACAAATGTCTAGGGCCCGTAATTCGGAAGGGCCTGGCTTCAGTGCATCTCTGTTTTAAAACGAGTAAAAATTTATTTAAGAAATTCATTAGGACAGGAAAGGCTGTCTTTAACAATGCTTACTAAAAAAACATACTCCTCAATCGGTAGATTGATCAATTTTCTGAAAAGTTAAATATTTTAAAAGCTGATTGATTAATGGCTAAAATTACATACATTTTTCGTTGTACCAAAAACTCTTTTGTTGTACAGTTATTATTGTATTAGTGTTTGTATTTTATATTACTAATAAAAATTTTAGGTGACATTATTTAAGATTTGTTTACGAGCAACTTATCTAAATGGGGCACCAATTTAAATTTTGTCTAGGGCTCGCTAGATGCTTAATCCGGCGATGAGCCTTCCAGCGCCGCCAGTGCTGGCGTGGTGTGATGGAGGTAGTAGGCCAATATACAGGCGTCAAAGAGCGAACTAATGTCATATTTAAAAACAGGGTGTTGTCTAGATCGTTTTGGGCCCTTGTATATTCGGAGCAATACAGCCAGTAATGTAGCGTCGTTTCCCTAGCGCCGCAGTGGGGACAGTCCGGCGGTTTTAAGCATTTTGATACAATATCATTAAACGTTCATGTAACCTCAAACACACATTGTATTGATTCTGTCTTTTCCTGTATTTTTATAACTTATATGTTCTTGAAGTTTCCTTTATTATATGGTTATTTTCAGTTTTAATATATTTTATACTTTGTTTTTACAATTTCACGACTTTCACTGTTGCAGTTTAAGCTACTGATGACGAGATTAAATTATTCTTAATGGGACTTACGTGTTCTTTAATTCTTGTGTTCAGTTTATTCCAATTTCACCAATTATCTGAACAACTACAATCAAAGGAATATATTAATACATAATCTTTTTCTAAATCATTTTAATTTTTATTTTTAGATTTTTTATTAGTTAATTTTCTTATGGTTTTTGTACGATCTAGCACTAGAATAATATTTAAATTTTTTAACTTTTTCAGATAAATCACGAATGTATTTTATTTAGTATCGTTCTATTGTTTTCTATTTATTTTATTTTCTATTTTAACTGTTTTTAAATTAACCACTTTAAGAATAAAGATTTCGGATAGTCATTTAGACTAAAATTTCTGATTATAGATTCTATTTCTTTATCCTGATCGTTTTCCATAGTTGTAATGTCTAATTTTACTGATATACTGGGTGGTTATAATTAAAGTTGCCCTACTCAGACCTGTCTAGAGCCCGTTCTCGTGGACGTATTTTGATGAAACTTGGTATATATGTTATATGGAACATGGGTAAAAGGATTGCAAAAAATATTTAGTTCGAATTTTTACCACTAGGTAAAAAAATGGCGCATGACGAACAAGAAACAGAAAATAGAAACATGCAAAAGGTTTTTATTCACAACACTTTTTCAATGTGTAAATCATTTGCATCAATTACTTGTTCAAAACGCCTTACAATGCAATCCATTTGCAGCAGTCACATGTTCAAAACACTTTACTGCGTTGTAAGACATTTTGAACATGTAATTGATGCACATTGAACAAATGTTGTGAATAAAAACTTTTTGCGTGTTTTCATTTTCTGTTTCTTCTTCTTCATGCACCATTTTTTCACCAAGTGGTAAAAATTCGAACTAAATATTTTTTGCATTCCTTTTCTCCATGTTCCATATAATATATATACCAAGGTTCATCAAAATACGTCCACGACAACGGGCTTTAGACAGATCTGAGTAGGGCAATTTTAATTATAACCACCCTGTACAGTACATCTGACAGTGGCGTAGCGAGGGGGCAAGGGGTCTATCATTCGTCAAACTCAGCTAAACAGATTAAGATAGTTTAACCCTCGAATTGTTCAAGTCTGTGGAAAGCCTACAATGCTGACAACGGAATGGTGTATAGTTTTGTGTTTGAAGCTGTATAAATATTCAAAGAGTTTAAAAATCAAACATTATCCTATGTCAGAATATGAAACCAAAGCAAACAATAAATAGTAGCAGAGAGAGGCGCATTACCACTATCATGTCTGTACTGGGATAGACTACGAAAACTCGAAATTGAACTCAATAGAAACGCGTTACCATCTTTGAAAAGACTATTCCAAAGCATAAAGGCTGAAATCGGCGATTCTATTCTTTGTGGCCTAACATTCGCGGTTATTTAAAATATTTCTTCTCTGAAATGGAAACATTTCATCTATAACATCATCATTAAACATGATTATCATCATTAAACATAAAAACATGATAATGTTGAAATGTTATGTTGTAGACCTGTTGGTATCAGATAACACATATTGCGTATCAAATTTTTATATAGTATATTTGAGCCTGTGATGACATGTTTGTCAAAGATAAAAGTACATAAGCTAAAAGTTTGTATTTATTATACAGTACTTCTGAAAGTGGAAAAAGTCTGATTTGTTAATTCATAATATGAAACTTTGCTTTGTAATATCGATAAATAAATGGGAAATACATTCAACTATTTAACACTGAACTCTAGTCCGAAATTTTAGTGGCGAGGGACAGTGCGTGAATATAAAATGCAATAAAGATTGTTCCTTGTTTTTTCATCGTCTTTATCACCTTAAGAGTCGTCCTGATTGTTTTTTGATTATTTTTTTCAATGCTCAGCTGCGACTCATGCGCATGTTCAGATCGACGTAACTTTGTCAGTTAATTCAAATAATATATACAGTATCTAGAAAAATGATATATATTATCTTAATTGACTGATATTTACAGTCTAAAAGTTACAATTATTATTAACGTTTCTTTTGAAGTCTATCAGTTATTTTAATGGAAAATAAGTTTTCTGTCTCTTTTACACTGTCAATATTTCTGGATTGATCTTTTATTACGCCTTATTAATATAATTATTTATATCTAATAATTGTGAAGATTAATGACGTTTATCAATCATAACATTAATAAAACATAAAATTTAATCTTCCAAAACACATAAATGCATTATTTAATAAAGAAATAATGACACGTACAAACATTTCAGGAAACTTCAGAAAAGGATTTCGAGAAAATGAAAGAAGAATTTGAGAAATATAAACTGGATATGAAAAATGTGTACGAGTGCAAAATTTCTCTTATCGAAGAAGAAAAGGTAGCAAATACGCATTAATTAACATTGGATTTTCGATTATATGTATCAAATAAAGTGGCTGTCTAATAATTTTTATTTGCTAAATCGTATTTAAATGGTTGATAATATAATATCAAAATTTGTTTTGTTCTGTTAGTATTAGAATTATTTCTAATGAGTTCTGAATCTAGAAAGATGAAATTATTCGTCGCTGTAGCAAATATGTAAGAGTGCATAACTGATGCAAATATAGTGTTTGCTAACATGTAAGAAAATTTAAAAGAATTTTTCCTGTTGCTTGAAAGTTTCTTTAGTTCCGATCCGGCTCTGTATTTAATAAAGAAACTCTCACATATATAAGTTATATACCGTATTTTCGCGGAATGACCGGCATGCCGGTCCATTTGGAAGAGACTATGAAATTAAATATTTTCGTACGGTAAAAACTGGCATGCCGATTTAAGTGAGGTTATGCACCCCTCTCTAGAGAGAACATTAAAAAATGAACGAGTTTTTATTCTAAAACTGAAACTGTAAGCATTATATCAAAAACTACGATTATACGTTTAATTTCGTTATTTTGTATTGTTTCGAACGACGTAAAATACTCGTGGAATTCCGAAAGTGGTGTTTCGTGTCTACTTTTTTGTCATTTGAAAATACACAAGAGTAAGCATATTAAATTTTTAAAAATTCGCTGTAAATTACACTAGAGCGTCGTTTATCCGAATCAATTGGGAACTGGGGTTGTTCGGATAACCGATTACGCACGAAAAAAAATTAACCTATCCCGTGTTGAAATTTTTCTCCGTCGCGTGTCGCTACGCGTTGAATTTTCGTCGATGTTAAGCCTAACAAAAACTTTCTAAAATAATAATCGTGGCTATTGTATCGTTAAAAATTATTTTTTTAATCTGTAGAAACAAAATAAATATATTAAAAAATATAAAAACCAAAAAAGTATACTTTAGTAGTTGATTTAGTATCAAAAACGTTCGATCCAGCACGACACAGTCCTCAGAAAAACACCACACAAAAGTGCCAGTGCTGCCAGCTAAAACACACAAAGCAACAAAAAAAATATTGGAGTAGCCCAAGATATAGCCAAAGATTGCAGCGCCACAGCACTAGCGAAAATTTAAATTTGCCGACTGAAATGCTTTCGGATAACCGACGATATACTGTATTTTGGCTTACATCGATTAACGTCGGTTTTGTGTGACATTTGAGAGAAAGGTATTATTTTTGAGGTCGGAGTAGATGGCTGCGTAGCCCACAAAGACTGACTACTACTAATGTCAATAAGTCGTTATTTGTTTTATTGTTTTGTAAATGAAAACTCTCTTTCCGATTTTAAGTTGGTCAAAATGCAATGTTGTTATTTTATTGTACTCTGAAAAATATTTTCTGTAACGTTTAATTAGGGACTACTTTTGTTACATCTGATTAATTTCATATTTTAGTCGCAGTTTAACCGGCATGTCGGTCATTCCTGGACCTTGCTGGTTTTCCTCGTTTTTACGCTGTATGCAGGTCATTCCGAGGAAATACGGTGCTATGTTCTTAAAGTAGCAAATTATATGTAGAATTATATACAAATTATTTGAAATATATCTACCATATAGTAAAACAAAATATTTGCCAGAAAAATGCTATCTTTTCTAAACTATAATAATTTAGCTCTTTATTGTATTGTGAGACCCGAAAGGCCCCTGGGTCTAAATTAATATTTTATTATTTACGTTAAAATAATGTCACCAAATATTATTTCATTTTTGGTGAGAAAAATACTGTTTTAACGTGGGAAAAGGCAGATAACAGATGTTACTTCCTTTCACAGAAGAGAACATCCTCTGACTTTCCCTTATCTCGTTAAAATCCAGCTCAGATGGGAAATGGTTACCCCTCATTCATCCCCCCTTTCATCCGTTCTCACGAAAGAGTTACTGGCCGATGATTGGTCGGCATTCAGAAGATATAGAGGGAACTTGTCTGAATTCGAGGAGTTCAGCGACAGATCCGAAAGCGTCCAAACTCCACATACGTTTCCCTCCTGATGACCAACGTCCTCAGACGAGTCACATACGGAATAAGTCTGCACGTAGGAAATATACTTTTATATGTGTGCACGTATTGATCTCCCATACGAAAAAGTAACTGAACTTGCATACAGAGAAGAAGACGAACGACATCTGAAACAGGTCGTATGTTTTATAACGATTTTTGTGAGCTCTCTCTCGATCGCGAATAGGGTATAATATAAGCTTAGCGATCCCCCGATTTGTATATTAGTTATAGTAGTTCTGTCTTTCGTTTATCCACTTTTTGTATGATTTAAATTTTTGTTCTATTAAATTTATTATTTCGTTTTAATTAAAAATGTCTTTTAATTGCGTGACTGGATCAGATCGCATACGCGTGTTAATCCGCGTATAATAAGATTGATTAACTGATGTCGGGACCCTGACAATTTGGGCTAAAGACCTCACAGTCTTGAATCCTCTTTTCTTAAAATTACCGCCCTCCTATGAAACGTTACGAGAGCCGATCTCACGATCGCGCGCCGTAAGTGTCGTAGACTAAGATCTACGTCCTGGCCGATCTCACAGTATGAAATACAGAACACATTTCGAAGAAATGAAGGAATATGTTGGATTTCATAGGAACGGATATAAATTTTGGGATATTTGCCTATTTCCAGTCCTTATTGTACAATTGTTAAAACTGCGTAATAAATTAGATTAAAATTAACAATTTTTTAAATATTTCACATACGTTTAAGTCAGAAAAAATAAGATTACCTGAAATGATATTTACATGCGACTATTGGAATAACGAATTTTATTTAAAAAACAACTATAAAAAGGGTTAAAAGGAGTAAAAGTAAAATAAATTAAAAATAAAAAAATAAGTAAATTAAAATATACTCAAAAACTGTGATAAAAGGATACAACTGTAAAAGTAAAAATTTAAAACTTGCTAAAAACAGTTAAAAAACACTAGAAAGAACAAAACAACTTGAAGGTGTAAAATTATTCACTGTACAGTATGTATATCGGGTGAACTGACTGTCATACGATATAGTAAATAACTAAAAGAAAGAGAGGGGGAAGGCAGAGCATCTTAAAATGGATTCTTTTTAATTTTGGGGTAACGATAATCCTCATAATTTTCCGAAATGCATATCCGTTCCGTTGTACAAAGTAAAGTGTATTTTATTCATCAAATAGTGTTCCTGTGTGATAAACTCTTCACAGCAATTTTGTGCTTATTCCCAAAGAACATCGGAAAGAACAAGAAGTAATCAAGTATTAATATATTTCATAATGTGTTTGTCATATCTGTGTCTTCGAAGAAGTTTGCATTTCCTTTGAAAACCATTCTATTACAAAAACGATATAATACTCGACTCGTGAGAAGAACACTGAACACGTATACATCACAAAGGAGCTTATAATTAATAACATTTAATAGTTGGATACAAACAATAATACGTAAAACACACTTTGCTAATAACTACAGAGACGATTTCTGAAACTCTATAATTGATTATTGAGAGCTGATTCTCTTTTATTTTTTGGTAAGAATAATTACGAATAACTTGAGCTTTATTCCTGATAGTGTTACGGTTATAGATTAAACGTATACGAACGAATAAATACTTAAATTAGCTTTAATATTTTTCTGAAATATAAATTATATATTTTGAAAATGTATAAATTATTAGATTTCGAATCAAGTTGCTGTGGACTGCTTAAAGAAGGAAATTGAAGCAATAAAAAACGAAGCCTTAAAATTACAAGTATAAATTAATGTTACTTTTCATATTACTAATTTAATATTAATTTTAATTCATAATTGGTATAACTAATTAAAAGCTAGAAAAACTGGATCTGGAAAAGACTATAATGGAATTAAAGATGCATCTCCAGGCTCGTAACAATTTACAAGAGAGCACGCGGGATCAGCTGGGAGAGGTTCAGGAAATGTTTGATAAATTAAACCGCAACTGTCGCAAATTAAGTAAAGTTCAGCAACGTTTACACGAAGACAGTGAGTATTAATTTAAAGTTTAATACGTTTATTTAATTTTAATTTGTTAACATAATAAATTTGTGAAAATCTGTTATCGTTTTAATGATTTTGAATTATTTAATGATTAGATGATTAATACACAATCTATATTTAAGAAATAAGAGAACGGATCAATCTGAAGTCTTAGAGTAAATGATTCGTGACAAATTAAATTAATAAATTAATGACAAATAGATACACTAAAATAGAACGAGACAATAAAACAGAGTATAGAGAATGTAAGTAGGCGATGGAAAAATATACTAAAATTTTCATTGGATTACAATTAAAGTTTTTACTGAATAGATTTATACTATGCACATGTATTGTACAGAAGTATTGATAAATTACATAGGGATGACACTCGATGCCAATCACAAATCTAGAATCTTATTTTCTTCATTGTCCATAGAAGTAATAATAAAATTAGTAAAAAAAGCAAAAAGTGAATTTATGCAGTTGTATTACTTTCGTTACATAAACAAGTAAATTTTGGAGGCCATTCTATCTATGAGTTAGAGCAAAACGAATCTAATGATTATCCCTATATTGTCCTACAGATATAGCATTATTTTGAATCTGAAAGATACAATTTTGTAATAATTATTCTTTGAGTATGTAAACAATTGAAGCGGAGCGTTAGCGAAATTTCTATGATGCTTACAGAATTGTGTTCGTTCTTAAAATCCGTTCGATAGATTTTGATTAAACTACCATTTTTCATTAATTGCGACACGGGATCCAAAAATGCAATGAAATGTGCCATTCCATAATTTTGTTTTCGAGATATAAGGTCGTTTGACCAGCGCGCGAGACAATACCATATCGCATCAGTCGCGCAACTTTGTCGTGCGATATTTTAAGGTCGCAAGCACGTCCTGTACGGGCTTATAAAATCGAGTTCGTTCTCAAAATTTAATGGATCGATTTTGAAAAAACTTTGCCAATTATTTTTATCACCGGTAATTGATAAGAGGAATCCAGAAATGTAATGAGGGTCCATTGAAATGTGAAAACTCCAGCAACAAATCGCTTAACTTTCCGGCAATATTTAAAATCTGCTGACGCCATCTGTTACATATCATTAAAAACCTTACATTTTTAATAAGTACAGTATAAAACGGAAAAAAGCTTAATTTTAGAAGTAGGGATGGGTTTTATAATAAGTTTTAAATCCATATAAAAAGTAAAATCGTCATCTAAGTCCGACTCTAGTCGAGATATGACACACGACTCCCTTTATCTCCCATCTCGACCTTAAACCATCAAATTTAATAACATGAATTTTTCTAATACATAAACCTTCCTGCAAAATTTAAGAAATTTTCGAATTCGCAGGAGTTATTAAGCTTCAAAGGGGGTAAGTAAAATCGTGCCACGCACAAACACACACACATTAACATTCATACACACAGAAAAAACTGAATGTTTTTGCATTTGTCGACGTCTGAAGGTCTCCTAAATCCAAAAATATAAAAATCTTGGGAAGGTCATTTTAACCGATCGCCATACTGCTCCTCTGTTATCTAACTATAACAGAGCCAGAATAAAATAGGAGTCCACGACTTCGTTTTCGTTATACCAGTGGCTCTCAACCTTTTTTGTTGATGTACCCCATTAGCCCATTAGTTGTTTATCGAGTACCCCTTATATTTTTGTACGTAAATTTTATAGTTACTGCATTAGATGTATACAGCCCTTATAAATGAGAGCCATAAAAAACTCTAACTAACTATAACTAAAAGTGGATTACTTATTTTACGTAAATAATAAATTTAGACAGGTACATACATTTATTTATTATTATTTGATNACAGCAAGTCTGTTGCTCGAGTCACGTAACGGTCAAACAGAAAGTCCGTTATTCGAGGCGTACGTTATACGAGGCACCACTGTATATTATATAAAATCACAGAAGTCATTTCAATACATGCATAAATTACATTTCCTAAAAGTAAATAATAATAATTAATGATAAAGAAAATTTAAATTATTCTACAATAATTTCTAACAATTTAATGGGATGTTTGTTGCGATAAATCTTCGGCAAATTTTTCAAAATTTGGTTCCCACCTTGTTAACTGACAACGAATGTCTGCTGATGCGTCAAGCCTGTTTTTTAGTTTTCGTCACAAATACGTTGTTAAAATGGTAAAAGTTTTCTTTAGACCTTTTAAATTGGACCTTGCATAGCTTTAGCTCCATCAGTGCAGATGTCGATGCACTTTTTCCAATCTATTTCATTACTTCGAATGAAAACATCGATTTTATTAAAAATATCAAAACCCGTAGTTGTATGTTTTAGGCAGTCGCATATTAACAAATCTTCGCAAAGCTCATCGTTGTACTGATATTTCACAAAATCTAAAAATACTGCCAATCCGCTGACATCTATTCTAAAATTAATGCTCGGTTAAATCGAAATTTTAGTAGACTACAAGTTCACTCGGCACTAACGGCACAAATAGACGGGTAAATCGAGCGGATAAAACAACTTGTTTGGACTGTTAAAAGGGAAATCGGTGTTCGTACTGGGATGTTTTAAAGCAAGTTTTTGTTTTTTCTTGTGTTAATAATTTACAGCAAATTCATTAACATGCGCCGTTTTATAATGAAAGTTAGATGTACCCCTTCTATTTACGCTCGTACCCCTAGGGGTACATGAACCCCCGGTTGAGAACCACTGCGTTATACAAAAGTATTACATGGAGAATGTCCACCCTCTCTGATGGGATGAGAGCACCTAACGGAATTTAGGCCTAGGAGTCAAAAATTAAAACAGTCTTAGGTGCCTAACTTTTCTTCTTTTTTCGCGCTTATTTCCTAACGAAAAATAGGCGCGAAAACGGTACCTGGCCAGTGCAAGGATCGTGTTTCTCGTGACCTGCAGGTATGAGGATGGCCTGTTTTGTGGCGGCAAGTGCAAAGTTTACTTGTCCGCGTCTGTCAGGTGCTGTACAAGGATTTCCTCTTCTGTGCTTAATAGGTGCAGGGATCTCTTCTTTTCAGCTTCGCTTCAATTTTAACGTGATAAAATGAAGTCGCGCTGTCCTAGAAATAATCAATATTCTCTTATAGACCCTTGTGAAAATTATTCGTAGCAACTGTTTTAAAAAGTAATAATGGTAAAATTGAAATTATTCTTAAACCAGTTTTAATCAAAACATCGTTTTTGAACTGAAACAAGACATATTTATCTATTATTAAAATATATTTTAACAAATTTATAGTCAGTCAAGCTACATCACTCTGTGAGAGAGTAGATAAAATAAATATTCAATATCATGAAAAATTAGAAAATTTGTCATCGGAATATCAAAAATTAAAACAAGAAATTATAAAAGTCAGGTAAGTAATCGATAAAAATCTCGGGTTAGTAACGAACAAAAATTTTATTAATAAATTTTCTTTGCTTTTATTTAGATCACAATTGCGAGAAGAATATCACAAACAGTTCATAAATCGAGAAAGCATCGAAATTGAACAATTGCATTTAAAAATGAAACACGTAAGTCGAATATAATTGGAAAATTATTACTATTATTATTAATGAAATTATTTTTATTACGAATGTTTTTTTAAATAATTTTCTAATGAATAACATTTTTGATTAAGACTATATATATCATCTTTAAAAAAATAAATATGAAGCAATATAAACATACCTAACATCCCGAAGCCCAATATATAGGCCTATATATCAATATATAGATATCGGCCTTCGGGATGTTGAATGAGGCGATCTTTTGGTTACGTATCTATATGAAGAAATATTTGTGAAATTAATATACCTCGTATAAATTATATTATCACTTTGACATTAACCAGCATTAGTGATCTACGCACGTTAATCAGTAGTCACATATTCTCAATTTGATTACATTCACTTATTTTCTCTCTCGCAGTTTATTTCACTTTATATAACCCAGTTAGAGGACTTTTAAATTTTTTCGAAAAACTACTCTCGTCATCTTTGAAAATAAATTATATTCCAGAATTGAATTTTTTCAGGTACCAGTGTTATCACTTTATTTGTTGTTAGAAACATTTTTAATCACAGCATTGTTTGACTTTTTCGAATTATGTCTGTCCGTTTTTTCTGTATTATAAACATTTTTACAAAAGAGTCTTATGGCAAGAAATACAAAAGAAACTCCTGTACATTTGAAGGAAGATACTGTGGAAGCGACGATGAGTTATAATCATCATCGTTTACAATATTTTTACTTAAAATTCTATCGGTTTGTCAGTGATGTATTTCTTTGAACAACAAGGAAAAAAAGCTCTTATTACATATTTTTTGAATAAAATGTAATTTCAAATAAACATATCGCTCAATGATATGAAAATATTCCATATCAAAGGAAATAATAGCAGTATACGATTCAATTATTGCGTGTTAGATGAGCTTATCTTTGGTATCCTATGATCATACAAAATAGGTAGATTAACATTAGTTGTACAAAAGTAACGTTTTTCTTTTAATTTTCTTTGTCACTAGAAAGAAGAGGAATTAACTGCTATTCAGAAAGTATTAAATCAAACTAAAGAGGACAGTGAGGTAAGACAGTTGTATTATAAAAAGTTGTGTTTTTAACTGAAAAATGAAAATGAAATATTATGTTATTTCCAGAATAAATTTAAATGTTTAGAAGAATCAAATCGACGACTGAATAAATACGTTCTACTCTTAGATAAAGCAAACGACGAAAAGAATAATCTGCAAGAAAAATTAAATGAAGCTTTGTTGGAAAATCAACAACTTAAAGAACATATGCGAGAAATTCAAGGAACTTTAAATGAAAATCTAAAGATGTGGAGAGAAAAAGTAACTATAATCAGTATTTTTTTTAATCTGTAAGAATATAGCAAAAGCGGTTTTAATCATATACGTAATTTTGATCTAAAAATATTTAAATATCCATATTAGGGCGAGTCAAATGAAAATGAGCTGATCTAATTTATTTGCGGATCGTTAGCTGTACGTTAAAAATAGCAACCACAAAAGTGAGATTAATGCAATTTCTTGATAAGTTTAATTAAAGCATGGCAACTCCCTGCTCGTAGAAGTCTTTGCTTCTTGTTTCAGGAAGTCTGTACCCAATCCTTGTACTTATGTAGCCGAGGCAAACTTACAACCTTTTAGGTGCTTCACAAATTAACCAAACAGGAAAGTTAACCCCTTTCTTATGAAATTCGAACAGCAGTGGATCTTTGTGATCAAAGAAAGCATTCATCGGCATCTTTCAGACGAAGCCTCATCGATCATTTTCCATTTTAGTGAGCTCAACTTGTTTTCATTAAAGTCTTTGTCATCTTGTTTCTTACTCGTAATGCTTGCGCCACAACTCATCTGCAGCTACGGCAAGAATCACAAATGAGTTTCTTTTTTTCGTACGGAAGCACATTTTTTTTAATGCAGAATTTCCCTGCTGATTTATGTTGTCCTCTCTGAGGTTTTGGTATTCATTGAACATAAACAAGTCATTAGTGCAGATGTTTGCTGACTACTAATGTTAAAAGCTGTGAAACAACTTCAATGCTCACTCATCGATCTGTTCGGCTTAATGCATCTACCTTTGATGTCATCTCCAGCGCGATGACTCAATACGCTTGTCCCACTCTACAGTGAACTTTTACATTTTGTTCGGCTTTGTGGAATCGTTTGTTCAGTCTTTTTTAACTGTACATAAATGTAATGTTCTTTGTAAACTGCCGACATCTGGTGGTAAATTTTCTGCTTCGAATCATTTTCTGTCGTCAAAAACCCAATGGCAGCTGCTCCGGTACTGAATGGTACACGGCAGTGCAGGCATTCTTTTGATTTCTCATTATAGGCGTTTTACAGAACTCAGCGAAATAAACTTTTCGCCAAACGTTGCTAAAGCTATCGTATGCACATAAAGCACGCGAATCGACCAAAATGATTTCCTGGTGAAGAGATTGGCTCGTTTTCATATGGCTTCTTAATGTACGGTATTTTATTTTAATAAACAGTGCCATGTAATAGTAAGCGCTCTGTAATAAACTGCGTAATTGCAGGATGAAACAAATTATAGACATCGCCGTCTAATAGTAAATGCGCTGTATATTAAAAAATAAGGCTTATTGTAAACTGAAAAATTGCGCATGTTATTTAGCGTTGTCTCTTTTACCTTACCTTAAAATAGTGCGCGTTTGTTACATTGTTGTTTAAATAATAACAAAGTGTGAAAGTTTCCGGATTTATTCCATTAAAAATAGCTTTCGAATAATAATCTCTCTCAATTTCCAAAGAACAGAAATAATAAACGCTGTACTGTATAATAAACGATGCAGTTGCAAGCTGAAAGAATTAACAGACAGCGCTGTTTATTAGAATAAATACAGCATTTAATTAAATATATTTTAAAATTTTTATCACAGGAAAAAAAGAAAAGTCTTACTTTGAGCAGAGAATGTCAGACGAATATCTTGCGAAAAATAGACAAACAAAATCAAACAATTACAACAGAAGAAACCGAAGATGATTTCAACCACGTGCGACAGATTCTGTTTCCAAAATTCGATCGCAAATCTTCATTATCCAGATTTAATTTTCAAAATAACACCGATTTCGAGCCAATTATTCAAAATTATGAAGAATCGAAACAGAACATTTCCAATGATCGTATCACAAAGAAGGCATTGCAGGCTCAAAGTGATAAAGAAACCAAATCTGCAAAGGTCGTAGGAGTAATGAATGATTGTGATAATAGCGGCAATAAAGAAAGTCTTGCAAATAATTTAAAATTACAAAATGATTATATAACATCCACATCTGATAACATTCCTGAAGTTGCAGAATGTAACAAGGAGGATATAAAAAACGCAGGATACGCGGTTTTATCCAAACAGAACATTACGGAACCTATAACAGAAGCAATTAAAACGTGTAGAATCGAAGAAATAAATGCTAATTTCTCAGAAAATGTTGAGAGAATTGAGAGTAATTCTACAGTTACTGAGTTGATATCTCACGAAAATGTAAAAGAAAATGATGCACCAATAAAAGAAAAAGAAACAGTATTTTCAAACGACAAAAAGAACGAGTTCAAGGATGGAAAAGTTAACGAATTACGAGATAATAGTGAGAAAAATGTTAACGAGTCAGAAAATTCTGAGAAAATACGTTTAAATTTGGAAGACGACAAAATGTTAAATACTCTGCAAGTAAATGATAACGAGAAAAACATGCAATTGCAGAAAAATAAAATATATCCTTTACCGTCAATATTATGTACTTCTCTAAATCTCGATAATATGAATAAGAAAAACACGACAGACAAAACTTCTCTTTCTGTAACATTTTCCCCAAACGTATCAATTTGTAGGGATATTTTGGGTGCTACTTCTCTTTGTTCCGTTCTTAGCGAAAAGTCGGAACTTAGCACTAAACGATGCTTCGAGAATCCTGGGTTTAAAGAGTGGATTCCTCCAACAAAGAAATTTCACACATTCATAAACCCCGACTCTTTGAAAAAATAACAAATCCTTGTGTGGAATTTACTGACGAAAATGGATAACATATATCAATACATACATCCTTCCTATACTTATATTTATTTTAATTTTATGTAAAGTATTAATATAATATTCTGTTTATTATTAATTCATTGTTTAAATAAACTCATTTTACTTGTTTCACTATTACTTTTTACATTTTCTATATTTTACAAAGTCATTTTCCTGTAGCACTACGGAATCCGCGATAAAGATCCACCTTTAATTTCGACTGCTGTCTTTCAGAGTATCGGATTGTTTAAATTTTCATATTTTATTCAAAAGTTTCATATATTTTGATATAAATATTTTATGTATTCTTTAATGGAATATAAAAATATATTAGTATTTACGTGATAACCTATGCTAATTCGAGCGAGAGTTTATATAACAATCTCAAGACACAAGCTTAGATGCCGAAATACTTTCCGTAGTACTTTTTATACTGGACATACATTGTTATTGAGAATAATTAACAGTGAATGTGAGATTATGCTGTTTTTCTACAATGGGATGTGATCTAATATTTGATCAGTCTTGCTTTTCAATTTACTTGATTTAATATTTTAAGGGCCCGTAAATAAATAAAAATTAGTCTTTATGGTGTAATTAAACTTTTTAATATTTCATAAAGATAGAATATTACAATAAGGTGCAAATGGTTTTATAAATGGTTTTATAAATGGTATTTGCTTATTAAATCAGAAAGTTTTTTAATTAATATCTTCTATCTTGAAATGTTGTTCACCTGTGCAAACAACAATTAAACGCCATTCAAATATATATGCATATATGGAAATTTATATGCACGTTGTATTTCTTCGCACGATTTTTATGTAAGATGTTGAATGAAACACAAATTTTGTTTTTCGTATTTTATTAGAATCGCAAAAAGTTAAGTAATTTTTTCAGCCAGCATTCTCGGGGTTTCAGTTAATAACTATATTATTTCTTAGTCATTTATCTTACGCTTAAGTAGTTATAATGCAATCATACCTTAAAAAATTAGTCATTAACGTTGTTCTGTAAAATGAAAAAAATAAGGAAATTTTAATTTTATTTTCAAATACCGCTATTATGCAGTTAAAATCACAATTCCCTGTTAACTTTAAACAGTTTTTATTTGTGATAGGTGAAGGAGAACATTTTCGCTTCTTGTAATGCCGATAGTTCGAAATATAATGCTTTTACAGACAAAAGATTAAAATAAATGTATCCAAAAGAACATTTATTTACATTTTGAAATTTTTAATAAAATAGACTTTTTGAATAAAATAAATGTTCAGGTTTAAAAGGAAACTAATACTTTGTTTTAATTTCGACGTTATTCGCATAATTTTTCTTCTGATGTTTCGATTCGTGTTAATTTCATAATACGCGATATTAAAGTTCAACACTAAATGTTGATGTAAACGTATGTAAAATAATACACAATAAAAGCGAAAACAGTCGTGTTATTACGAATTACTTGTAAAAACGTAAGTTGACGTAAATATTTAGTAATTTCGTTTGTCGAATTAATTTTTGTCATTAAAAAGTTCTTTCCTAATTTATTTATCGCACCAAAACGCAAAAATTAATCACGTGGAATCAAAAATTAGTCAAAAGGATTAGAATTTATGAAATAATCTTTAATAAAATATTCTTATTATTTCAATAGACAGAAGAGAGAATTCATTTAAAACACGAATGTAACATACGAAAATGTATTTTTTGTATTTGGCTCTTTTTTTCCACACTCAAATAGACAGAACTCTCGCGGCAAAGTCGATCGTTTTCTTCAAAATTTTAAGTAAATTTTTTGTTTCGAATATCTGTCATTTTTCATTATATATAATTATATTATTTACAATATACGAATTTAAATATAATGGCAAATAAATACACTAAAGAGCAATAAATATTCATTAAAAATAATAAGCTCTGTGAAAACTTTGGAAATAAACAAAATTTCAATTTATTCAAAATATTTTAACTTTTATAGAAAATAAAAGATGTTAAAATAATAAATGTTAACGAAATATTGATTTGGCTTTCACTTCTGAAAGAATAAGAGATTAAATAAATTCTGATCGAAGGGATTATTTCAAATTAAGTCAGTTATTTATAATCATTTTGTGCGAAATGTTTACGACGAAATAAGTTTCTATCCATAGTGACTACTTTTCGTCCCTTTGTGATAACAAAGCACGCGTTATCGAATTATAAAATACTTTTGAAACCTCGGACAATTCTACCCGCGAGTACCCGAACGCAAGGAATTGTTCCAGATCTTACGTATATGCCGTTGATAAAATCATTTCAATACCGCAAATACGTATATTTCCGCGTCATACATACAAAGAAAGCCTTTCCTACCAGAGTTACTGTACAAAGTCACCGAAATTCTCGAAATTACAAAATTTTATATCTAAAAATTTTCCGCAGCAAAATCAACATTACACATACAATTTCAGCATTTTCAATACTCGCAAGAGTTAATCCAAGTATTTTCTAGAAGAGATATTTATTGAATTTTTACCGAATTATTTTTCTATTTAATGATTTGAAAACGTCTAACACTACTCGGTAGATAGAAAAAACAGGCACAGAACTGTATTTTCAGTTTATATGATTCTGTTTAAAATTTATTCGTCAAATTAATTTCTTTCACTTTCTATAATATTATGACGAGAATAAAGTAAATCGTGTATTTATGTGTCGCGTGCTTCGAAACAGTGATAAATATAAAAAGTTGTTAAATTTCACCCACTTTATTATATCTTTATAAGGGTTTTTGAATTAAAAACGCAGACACTTCCAATTATTTTTATTTGATAATATTTATATGAAGAATTTGATACTCATTTCTTCACTGTTGAATCTACTGTATTTATTTAAGTGTTTTGGAGAACTTTATAGAACTTTATGAATATAAGTCAAACGTTACTTAAAGTGTAACATGTTCGGGAGAAGTAACATTTGGCACACAATAAACAAGTATAGAATTTATAGAAATAAACCAAATTTTCATTGGAGAATATAAAATTTCCCACAATAGTTCATTTCTATCAAACGTTTTTGCTGGGTTGACTTAAACTGTCCCGTTTTGGGAGAAAAGTCCTTTAATCTAGCAACGTTATCTTTCGCACTTCTGATTTACTTCGCACGAAAAAGAAGCAGACCAAATCATGAACGTGTTCGATTATTTCGTTTTCTAAATAATACTCTCAAGGTGAAAGTGAGAACCGTTATTTATTAATGTATTGTAAGATAACAGTAGTTAAAGAATTTTAACAAATGAAAATTTAAACAATCAATACATTGTGTTTTTTGGGCTGCAATTTGAAAAAATTGTAGACCTATAAATCCTAACTGTCGTTTGTTGTTCTTCTGGAAAACGGAGTTAGATAGATGAAGGAAGAGACCAAATATGAAAACTACAGGGGAAGCAGGCCTCGATTATCTACGTAGAAACTTCCATTGAAAACCGAAGTCACGTTATTTCAATTCATATTTCCCCCAAAAGGAGTTATACAGATGACCTGCATGATTCTATTGCTAAATGAAACGTTTGATGTACTGTACAGGGGCAAGCCAATGCAAGTATATTCGAAAATTTCAGATAAGTGGTATTTGCCCATTTCTACTTATAAATAAATAATACTGTTTGTTAATTGCCTTGACAATTTAAGTAGTTTAGAAAATGATATCTTTTAGTGTCTCGGTATTGAAGATAGTTCCTTATATCTCAAGGTTCATAAAGCGAAATTATCTTATTTATCCTCAAACACATAAAATTTTGCAGTAAATATCCAACAATATTTACGTTTATCTGTTCTCATCACAAACGTGTGAAAATGAAGGGGCTATTTTTGATAAAATTTAAAGAAACGAGAAGCTTTAGAAACTTGCCCTTTTTCCGCACAGTTCCCAGGAAATAAAAACGAGAAAATAACGAATTACTAGGGAGGAAAGGACTATGTTGACTTACCTGTCAACAAATCCTTTCTTCCCTCGCATAGACTCTCGAAATTAATGCAAATATGTGAAAAAGTTGACACTTATCTTTCGTCTAAGGAGGAAATCTAAAACAATCCAAGGAAATACGAAACCTTCGTTTAGTTTTCGTTGGTCAGCTATGATACTTTCGACATATCATCGCTACCTAATAAACGGTCACCCGATCAGATTTCCACACTGAATACACATATTGATATAACGGCCAGACACCTATTAGTGAAGAGCGGACATCTCTAGCAGCCATAAATTACGGCTCGTCCCGACATATTAAAGGCGGACAAATTTAATGACAACGGATATAAACTACTTCTGTCTCGCCATATAATAAGTGAACCTTTTCCGAGTGGCCATAGTCAAAGCCAGTTTTCCACCCTCGGTGTGCATAGAAGATTCCGCACTGGATACCGACTTTACTTCGATTCGACTAGAAGACGGCTCATTAAACTCTTGTTTCGTTATTAACTTGATCCCGTGTTGACTTATTTCGGCGCATAAAGACACCCTATCGACTTACCCATCGCGCCTCCCCACTCGAAACAATTAGCCCTTCTATTACAAGCCATCCAGTGACAACGTGAGCGGTCTTTACCAGGTCGTCGCCGATCCAAGAGGGTTTAAACCGATATCCATCAACCCCCGGCTTCTCACAAATGACATTATTTAAAATCAGCTTTTTCTCTATCTACTTTCAGCCAGTACACAAGCTCTGTAATGTCGGTCGAATGTATTTAAATGACCAATTATTTTTCAATTTAAAAGCCGTTTATGCTTATGAAATTGAAAATTTCGAACAGGCGAACCTTTTCAACTCTTTCCTTATTGACTCAATAGAATTCAATAAAATTTGAACATAAATACATTTGTTGTGATAAACGTCAATACTGGTTTCGTACAAATATTTTATACTCTACTTTTTCTGTAAAATAATACTTCTTTGTGTGTTTATATTATTTAAAAATATATTTATAACCTACAGGATCACAAATAATTGACGAATTTTTCATTGTAATTTAGTATATTTCGCTTGAAAAAAATTTGGCACTTTTAAAATTTCGTACTTAAAAGAAAAAAATGTTTAATCAATTTTATGAAATTCTTCAAATGATGTAGTGGGATAAATGTGTATATCTTTGTGTGTTTTTAAC